AGGCCCTCAAGATCGTCCCAAGACGCCTCAGGAGGCTGCCAGGAGGGCCTCAAGACGGCTCAATACTGCGCCAGGACGGCTCCTCAGGCGCCAATGGCGGCCCAGAAGGGGGGGCCAGGACAGGCTGGGAGCGCTCCCGAGGGGCCCCAAGAGAGGGCCAGGAGGGCCCCAAGAGGGCCCCGACAAGGCCCCATGACGCATGTACTTAGGTGCCCCTCTCGCAAGCCCACGAAGCATATCAAGTACATTCGGTTTGGGGCCCTCTTGGGGCCCCTTGGGGGTGCTCTTGCAGCCCTCTTGAGGCCTTTGAGGCCTTCGGGCCCCTTCAAGACAGGGCCAGGTGCATTCTGCCACAGAAAGCCCTCTCGTGGCAAAATGGTGGGCCCGCACCCGGCTGCGCCCTGGGGCCCTTTCGGAGCCCTCTTGAGGCACTCTTCGTGCCTTCTGGCACGACCCACCCATGGTTTGGCAACCCCCGCCGCCAGTGGCAGCAAGCACGGGTACACACTAGTCTCTCCTACATGGCGGGCAGAAGCGCGTGCCAGAAGGGCTGGGGGTCAAGTGGCTAAAATCGTCCCTTTTCGGCCCCACCACGTGGTCGAATCGCCCACGAGGGCCCAAGAGGCGCCCCAGAGGGGTTGCACGACGGTCCAAGAGCGCTCCAAGACGGCTTCAGTTGTTCCCGAGACGGGCCTCGAGGCCCCCAAAACCTCAGAAGGTAACTCCAAGACGGCCCAAGAGGCCTCCAAGACGCTCCGAGAGAGCCCCGAGAGGACGCCAAAGAGGCACAAATGGTCACAGTCCTATGGGAAAACGTATATGTTCAGCATGCCCGCCTGTTGTGTTGTTACACGGTCCAGGACAGGCCAAGAAGCCCCCCAGAACCCGTCAAGACGACCAAAGTGGCCCCCAAGAGGGCCCGAAGACTGTCCAAGAGGGCCCAAAGATGGCCCAAGGGGGCCCTCAAACGGCCTGAAAAGGCCCCAAGACGGTCGAAGAGGGCCCAAAGACAGCCAAAGGGGGCCCTTAAACGGCCGTAGAGGGCCCCAAGACGGCTCCAAGAGGGCTCGAAGAGGGCCCGAAGAGGCTCCCAAGAGGCCCCCAGGAAGCCCTCCAGAGAGCCCCAAGACTGTCCAAGGCCTCGAAGACGCCCCAGGGACCTCAGAAGGTGGCTCCAAGACGGTCCAAGAGGCCCCAAATACGCTCCGAGAGAGCCCCGAGAAGACGCCAAAGAGGCAAACATGGTCACAGTCCTATGGGAAACGTGCATTTTCAGCGCATCCGCCTTTTGCGTTGTTACGCGGTCCAGGACAGGCAGAGAGGCCCCCCAAACCCCTCAAGACGACCCAAGCGGCCCCCAAGAGGGCCCGGAGACGGCCCAAGAGGGCCCAGAGACGGCCCAAGGGGGCCCTCAAACGGCCTGAGAGGGCCCCAAGAGGGCTCCAAGAGGGCTCCAACCAAGACGTTTCAAAACGGCAACAGAAAGGCCCACAAGGGCACCTGGAGTGCACCCAAATATCCTCCACAAGGACGGACCACTGAGAAGGCGCACGGACGCCAAATAAAAGAGCGATCGGTACAGTAAAAAGCTTGTCAATCCAAGGCTCCCAAGAGCGAACGGTGACACAGTAGGCTCTTCAACCCGAGGCTCACGAGAGCGAGCCGCAACGTCAAAAACTTTGAAACTGGAGCCCGAACCTATCATCATCCCCTCAATTCTGGGACAAGTGCGTGGGCCAAACGCTTTCTCGGCCTCCAGTGGCATCGGCACTGCCTCTGGGTCCCTGCGGGCTCTGGGTCCCCAAGACGTCGCAGAGACAGCCTTCGGCAATGTCCGAGATGGCCAGAATTGGCCCCGCCAGACAGGGCCCCCGAGAGATTGCAAGCGGTTCCGAGAGGCCTCCAAAAGGCCCCTAGACGCCCCAAGAGGCATTGCAGGAATTGTCCAAAAGACCACGGCAATTTCAAAGTTTTTCAACACCCAAGTGAAGATGTATGTCTTTTGCTTCGCAGGTTTTCCGACGCGAGACAGCTCCAAGACGACTTCGGGGGAGACTCTTGGCCTCCTTGCGGGCCACCTTGGGCCCTTTGGGGGCCCCCATCGAGCCTCTTGGGTTGTCTTCGGGGCCTCCTTGGGGCGTCTCGGTCCGTCTTCGGGCCGTCTTAGGGCCCCCTGGGCGGTCTTTGGCGGCCTCAAGAGAGCCCAAGGGCGGCCCCAGAGGGCTCCCAGAATATTACAGAATGCTTCGGAGAGCTTCCAGGCGGCCCGACACGCCCTCCAGAGAGCGCCACGACGGCCCAACAGACCCCCAGAGAACCCCGAGACGGCCCAGGACGGCAGCACACAAGTCAGCAGCGGCAGCAATTAGTAGCTAGCAGCAGGAAACAAGCAGCCGCTACATTGCCCGCGGCCGGCTGGCGGCCATCCCCGCTGCCGTGGCGTGCGGCAGAGGAGTAGTTGCGACCGCCAGGCCTGCCGGCATGTTGGCAGTGACGTCGGGGAAACAATTGTCTGGCTAGCAGCTACGCGCGCAAAACAGCAGGCAAGCAGGCAAGCGATTTCAGCTTCTGCACGCGGGCAAGCTGTCGTGGACGGAAGTCCACGGGTCAGCTCTAGTTTTCTCTACAATGCAGGGACCCGTGCGTGCGGGAAGGGTCCCTGTCTTGAACGAGCGAAAATACCCCACAACGGCTCCAGGGGCGCCCCAGAGGCGCCCAGGACGGCCCCAGACACCCCCAAAACGGGCCAAGAGCGCTCCAAGAGAGCTCAAGACCGCCGAAAACGGCCCCGACAAGGCCCAGGAGGCCTCCACGACGGCCCCAGTGACGCCCAAGAGGCGTCCCAGGATGGCCCCCACAGGTCCAAATCATTTTTTTTTCCAGCGAAAAACGTTCAATTGAAGCAGGCACTGCTTGTCGGGAATATGGCGCACAAGATGGGACAAGAGGCCCCCGCGACCGCCCCAAGACGGCCCAAAAGGGCCCCCCAGAGGCACGAAAACCGGCCCGAGAGAGCGTCAAGAGACCCAAGAGGCGCCCAACACGGCCCCCAGGCAGCCCCAAGAGGCTCCCAGGAGGCGCCCAGGACGGCCCCACACACACCCAAGACGGCCCAAGAGCGCTCCAAGAGAGCCCAAGACCGCTGAAAACAAACCCAAGACGGCCCAGGAGGCCTCCGCGACGGCCCCAGAGACGCCCAAGAGGCGTCCAAGGATGGCCCCCAGAGGCGAACATCATTGTTCTCCCGAAGAAAAAACGCTCACTTTTAGCATGCGCTGCTTGTCGGGAATACAGCGCAGAAGCTGGTTCCAGGTCCCCACGACCGCCCCAAGACGGCCCAAGAGGCCCCCAAGACGCACGAAAACCGGCCCGAGAGGGCGTCAAGAGAGCCCAAGAGGCGCCCAAAACGGCCCCAGGGCGACACCAAGAGGCTCCCAGGACGGCCCAAGGTATCTCATGTTTTCGGCACCCCTCACGGAGATCCTGGCCCCCGAGCGTCACAGATCGAGCCCTCCGCCCAAAGACGCGGGGAAGTGACCATAAGAGGCTCCAAGGAGCGCCCAATATGCCCCCAACAAGGCCCAAGAGGCCTCCAAGAGCCTCCCACAGTCCTCCGAAGCATGCCCCCAGAGGCCAAAATCCTTAATTTGTCGATGTTGTTTGAAGGAATTTTGCCTTCTCGCCTTCTCGGCTAGCCGACGCTCCAAGACGGCCGCAGAGACCCACACCGCCCCAGGACGGCCCAACAGGCCTCCAAGCGCGTCCCCAGACGTCCCAGTGAGCCCCAAGATGGCCCAAGAGGCCCAAGCCAGGCCCAAGAGGTGGCCAAAGAACAGAGAAAAACCCTGGCATTCCGAGCCCTGGGCCCCCATACGCCCACACAAGGCCCCAAGAGCGCCCCAAGACGCCCCGAGGAGGGCCCGCAAACGGCCTGAGTGCCCCGGGATGGCTCCAGAGGCGCCCGAGACGGCTTAAGAGACACCTAGGACAACCCGAAGAGCGCCCAAGATGGCCTCAAGACGGCCCCAAGATGGCCCCAGAGGCGCCCAAGACGGCCTGACAGGGCCCCAAGACGGCCCAAGAGGCACTCCAGATGGCCCAAGAGGGCCCCGAGAGACCCCCAGGGAGGACGAAAAACGGCCCCCAAACGGCCCCTAAGAGGCCTTGAATGCTTCCTGTTGAGGAGCGTCGACCTTCCAGCGTCGTCTTGGGGACTTTTTGGACCCTCTGGGAGCCATCTCTAGGCTTTTGGGGGACGTTTGGGGGCGGTGCGCTCGAACGGTCCCTTCGTGTCCTCGCATTGAGGCCCGTCTTAGGGAGTTCGTTGGGCCCTCTTGGGCCGTCTTGGAAGCCTCTTGGCCCGTCCCGGAGACTTCTTGGGCCGTCTCGGCGCCTTCTTGCGGGCCTCTTAGGCCGCGCTCACCAGTCCCATTCTCACCGCACTACCAGATAAAATTATCATTCGGCCCTGGCGAAGAGCAGATACAATTATCACGGCGACCCGCCCCGCAAAAACTATTACGAACACAGAGCGCGGCGTGAGAAACAGCTACATCATGTCGTGCATGGGTGTGCGTCCATTGATACCGCCTCCACCATCGCGTTCCTGCCTTCAGGCCTGCCTGCCTGCATCCCTCGCCTACCTCGCCCTCCAGCGGCCACATCCTCCATCCATGCCGTCCCCTCCAACCTCCCCCCCCCCCGCGAGGCCCCCAAGACGCTCCACTTCCACGTCCACGCCATGGCGGGCAGATGCCGCGGCCAGAAGGCCGCGGGTCAGCCCTAGTCAGCTATAATGCCGGGATCAGCGCGTGCGAGAAGGGCGAGCAGTGGCAGCGGGCGCTGGCGCTGCTGAGCAAGATGCGGGAGGCGAAGCTGGAGCCCGACGTCATCAGCTTCAGCGCTGGGATCAGCGCGTGCGAGAAGGGCGAGCAGTGGCAGCGGGCGCTTTTGCTGCTGAGCGAGATATGGAAAGCGAAGCTGGAGCCCAACGTCATCAGCTACAGCGCTGGGATCAGCGCGTGCGAGAAGGGCCAGCAGTGGCAGCGGGCGCTGGCGCTGCTGAGCGAGATGCGGGAAGTAAAGCTGGAGTCTGGCGTCATCAGCTACACTGACGACAATACAGGCACCCAGGATCTTCCCAAGACGCCTCGGGAGGACCCCAGCAGGCCTCGAGGACGGCCCCTGGACGGCTCCTGTGGCGCCCATGACAGCCCAAGAAACACCCAAGACAGCCCCAAGAGCGGCCAAAGATGGCCCAAGAGAGCTTCCAGGCTGCCCCAAGCCAGCCCCACAGGTGCCCAAGACGGCCCCGAGAAGCACCCAAGACGGCCCAAGAGGGCCCCAAGGGGCCCCCACGAGGCCGCAAGACGGCCCAAACGGGCCCCAAGAGGCCCCCAGGATACCGCAAGACAGCCCCAGAGGGCCCCAAGAGGCCCCCAGGAACCTGAAAAGAAACCCCGAGAAGCCCCCAAACCGTTTCCAAGGAGACGGCGGCGCCCGCCATCAGGCTTCGAAGAGGCAGCCGGAAAAAAGTCACCAGAGCCCTCCGGGATATTTTTTTCAATGCCCCAGGTGTTTTCAAAATTGACAAGCGGCGAGACGCACACGGCAGACCCACCATAGCCGTCTGTGACGTTCCGAAAACTGTCCAGGCGGAGGTAGAGCGGACGAAGAGGAGGAAGCGGTCCAAGAAGGCCTCCGAAACGGTCCAAGAGCGTTCGGAGACGCTCCAGATAGCCTCCTGACGGCCCAAGAGGCCCCCACAACGCAGACGCCCGCCATAGCCCGCACAAGGCAACACATCGTGCCAAACCCTGGATAAAACGTACATTTCCGTAATTCCCGCGTTTGTCGTTTCCAAAACGCCCCAGACGACAATAATGCAGGCCCCCCAGATCGCCCCAAGACGCCTCAGGAGGCCCCCATCAGGCCCCCACGACGGCCCCAGACGGTCCCATGACGGCTCATGTGGCGCTCATGACAGCCCAAGAAGTATCCAAAAGAGCCCCAAGAGCAAGCAAAGATGGCCCCGAAGGGCCTCCAGACGGTTCCAGGACGGCTCCTGGGCCCGACACGAATGCTCAAAGGCTAAAGAGGCGCCGGCAAGGGCCCCGAGACGGCTCAAGAGTGCTCGGAGACGGCTCCTGGAGGAGCCCCAAAACGGCCCACGGGAGACCCAAGACGGCGCGAGAGAGCCCCCAGGAGCCCCCAGACGGGCCCCAAGACTTGCCTTCGAAGGCTCAGACGGAGCTCCGAGACGGCCCAAGGGGTTGGGGGGCATAACGGCCCCCCGCGTTTTTACGTTGTCGCACTGCTGAGAAAGATGACAGCGATGATAAATATGCTTGGGCCCTTGTCCTCGCCGCCGCCGCCGTTGTCGTCGTAGCCGCCCTCCTCGTCCTCCTCGTCCACATCCTCCTCCTCCTCCTCCTCCTCCTCCTCCTCCTCCTCCTCCTCCTCCTCCTACTAGTATTCATCATCGTGCAGCTGAGCTTGAATACGCACAGCTGCAACATTGCGCATTGCATGGCAAAGAGCGAGCGAAGGCCTTTCAAGGGACATTGTCGACAGCGCAAGGGAAAGCCAAACTTTGGGTGCCCTTTGGCAAGAGGCTAACCTTACGAGCAGTGCAAGTTGGGGAGGTTATTCTGTCAGACCCCGCTGATCAGTTGGAAGCGTTGGTCAACTACTGGGCACCTATTTCAGCACCACCACCATCGCTTCCTGCACATGCCGAAGCGTATGCCAAGTGCTTCGTTAAGACGTGTCTTTGATGGATTGCAGCCACCTTCCTTACAGATGTTACAACGCACTCTTAGGCGGATGGCTCCGTCGACATCGGCGCCTGCAGTTGATGGTCTACCGTACTCAGCATGGGCTGCTCATGAGCACGGAGCGGTTGTTCTTTGGCACGCCTGTCGCTGGATGATGGACGGCCAAGCGTTACTCCCGTCGACCGGCGCTACGCTTCAAGCAGCATTTCTACCGAAATGTTGTCGTGTTGGCGACGATGATGAGCGCGGTGTTGTGCGGTCTCCTGATACAGTGCGGACTCTTGGGCTTCGCAACACGGACGCGAAGGTTATTTCGGCGACCCTCAAAATTGCCTTCTCTCCAATTGTGCGGCAAACTACCTCGTCGGCGCAAAGGGGATTCATTGCTGGTCGTCAATTTACGTCCAACATCCTGGAGCTTGATGTGATGGCTCGCATTGCGTCTATGCAGCCCCAGGTAGAGAGTAAGCAGCCCATATTGGTCGCGCTGGACTTCGGCCAGGTCTTTCCAAGTCTTAACCAGCAGCACCTCTTCACGATCCTCGCCTCCATGCAGCTGCCGTCGGCCTTTCTAGCGGCGTGCCGCTCGCTGTATGCCTCGATTACCGCAGTTGGGCGCATTGCGGGGATCACCAAAAACTTGTTTTGAATTTTGTGTGGGATTATTCCGGGGTGTGCTCTTTCTTGCAGCCTGCTCGCTGCAGCTACGTCGCCGTTTCTTGAAGATCTCCGATTGTGTCTTGAGGTTTGGCACCGTGGTATCTTTCGGGCATGTGCCGACGATATCGGTGGGGTGCTCTCCGATCGCCTGGACCTTCGCTTCTTAGCGCGGGTCATGAGAGTCGCTGAGAAGATTGCGAATTCGAAGCTCAAGCCACCGAGGTGTGTGATCGTTCCGCTAGCGTCGGCTGTTAACCTTGAGATCGTCGCCAGTTCGAGGCAGTGCATGGCGAACATCGTCCCCGAATGGATCGCATGTCGGATCTAGGCCACGCTGCTTTATCTGGGCATGTGGATTGGTCCAGCGACGTCAGAGGTTTGTTCTTGGCTAGCACCTCGGGACAAGTATCGGGCGCGGGTGGCTGCACTGGCCTCTTCTGCCGCTCCAGCCTCTCTTAATGCCAGCAACTACGTGGCCCATGCCCTGCCGGCGACGAGCTACACTGCGCAGTTCCAGCCCCTTCCCAAGCAGTTACTTCAGCAGGATATGCATGTCCTGGTTCGCATTATTCGGCTACCTGGTGGCGCCTTAAGATACGTCGATTTCGTTTGCTTGGGACAACGGGGAGGACCTAAGCTTCGGGCTCTTGGGCCCTCTTGCGAGGCGACGCTGAAACGGTCTGGACTCTCCGCTCATCCTGAACATGCTGGGTATCTCGCTCGACTTCGTCGGGCGGCGGAGCGCTGGGCGCCTCATCGCGTCCTGGCTGGTCTTTTGTGGCCAGCTCTCTCCTCGTTTTTGGGCACTGCCCTCGTTTGTCGAGCAGATAGCGGCAGCGTCGAAAAGCAACGCCTCTGCGGGGGCAATTGCTGCTCGTCATCTTATCCGGGAACGCCCGGAGGCACGGCACATGTTTCAGCAGGCAGCTTATATGGCCGCTGTTCAGAGCATGACGTAGCCATTCTTGTCTAACGCCAAAGGGAGCGACTCGCCGTTGATCGACGCAGGCATCAAGCGCTGGACGAAATGGTCCCCGCAAGAAAGCTGTAGGGCTCGCCGGCATCGATTGGGGCGTTCTGAAAGATAAGCTGCTGGCTTATCCTACGGCATGGACATCTTCATAACTTCGGGGGCTGTGCGGTGGCTGGCTTACGACAGCTCGCATTGCCTCGCCGACTGGCGCCCGCCCTTGCATCTTCGGGTGCGATGGTTGCCTCGACGAGATCGGTCATTGCTGGGAATGCCGTGGCCTGGCTCGGGGTATCGCTATGGCTAAGTCGGGAGGGCGCACCCCCTTACCTAGGGATGTCTTCGAGCGCTTGGGTCTTCGTGGAGGCTGCGACGAGAATTTAATGCACCTACAGCTCGCCACCATCATCTACCACGAGGTGCGCCACTCAGACTACGTCAATCCCGATCACCTTCTTCGTCCTACGCGAGGGGCGATCCGCGCTAGGGCCTTAGTCCGACGACGGGGCGAGTTCGACTGCATCGAAGGCCTGCTGAGTTGATTCGTTCGCGGGTGCCCTCCCGCCCAGAAGAGCGCTCACAAACCTCATGGCCACCGCAGTTGCTCCCGCCTATTCCTGAAGGCCAACGCACGCTCCGCGACCTTCTTCCTCATCGCGTTCGGTTCCCGCACGCCTTTGGGGAAGACCGATTTGCCATTCCACAGCCGGAGGGAATTGGGGAGATTCTGGCTTCTCGGCTTGCCGACCTGGGTCTGCTGGTACAGTCTTGGGCGCGCGCTTGGGCTGGCTCCATGGTCTTTGCGAGCAATGGTCTGTCCGACTTCGACGACTGGATGAAATGGGCGCCGGACTTTCTGACGATCGTGCTCCGCTACAAGTGTTTCTTGGGCCCCTTCCATGACGATGCGCCATCACTGGGTTGCCGCGCTGTTTTGGCTGCTGGCATGGCTCGCGCTGAATGGGGCAATTCGGCGCGCGGTCGCATCGCACTTCTTCGACACTTGGCAGAACTTCGGCAAGCCCAGTCTGATCTCTGGCCCCCTGTTGCACTGGAGCGAGGGCGCGATTTGCTTGCTATCCGGTGGTGGGTGCACCGCGCTTCTGCTTTTCTCAAGCTCACCAGTGAAGTGGTCGAGGAGATTGCCCTTCTGCAGCCTGAGGCTCGCCATCTTCTTCCTGAACTTGAAGTCCGTCTTCAATATGGCCTGGGTGATCTCGACCTTCGCGCTGAAGATCTTGTTGTGCTGCTGCGCGATATTGACTGCAGCGACCCGACCGTCAACCTACCGACGCTGGATCCTCGACGGAGCGCTGCAGGCCCTTCAGTGGGCGCTGCACCCGACCTGCCGCACATGGGCCACCCCCGCTACGCTGCGTCGTTGGATCGCATCGGTGTTTGGTCACAGAACTGGATCCCCAGTCTGGTTCTCTCCAGCAGCGGGGGCGACTTCCAACAATGGATGAAATCTTGCTAGTTTTATGTCGCCGCAACGCTGCGATTTTATGGCTTCGGAGGCCTTCTCCAGTGCTCGGCCGAGACAATCTCGGACTGTACTAAGTCTTGGGAAATGGCTGTCGAGCTTTACATGCGTGGCTGGTACTCGGGCGCGATTCCGCGGAAACGTTTCAACAAGTTCAGCATCAATGGCCCCTACATGAGCGCCGTCGACTCACCATGCTGGGGCGAACAGGGGTGGCACTGCTGCGACATATGGACTGGCGCCTGAGAATCACGAGGATACTTGTCGAAGAGAGAGCTGACTTTTTGCACATTCAGAAGGCTTTCTTCCATGCGCCTCCTAAAGCTCTCCAACCTCAGCCCCACCTTCTACCTCATCTTCATTGCCAAGCGCAGCGTGGGCACAGTGCGGCTGATGGACCTTACCCTGGCGAAGATGATGAGAGCATTGGAGAAGACGGGTGCCCCAACCCTACTGGCGTCGACATCGAACGCATGGTGGAAGCGGCAGATGCAGTAGCAGCTTCGTCGGCAGCAGCGACGGCGCCACCGATAGTTGAAGACTGTGTAATGGATCCTGCAGAATACTCACACCACTTTGGGCTGATTCGGACCGACGAGGAATTCGAAGCGCAAGTACAGATGGCGCGGCATCGTTCTCGGGAGTTCTCCCGCCGCGAGGGTTGGAATGCGGCGGCCGCGTCTTCCTCCCCCCCCCTGCGGCACCGTCGTCTCTTCCAGTGGAAGATCCACATGAGGAGCTAGCATCAAGCAGTTCGGATGATATGTTCAACCATACAATGGCCGCGCGCGGCTTCGGTGTGATATACCATGATGGGACGCTGGGTGGGGCGTATCAAGCTGGTACTGCGACTTCATCGGCTGGCGGTGCTTCTGCGTCTTCGAACTCTGGTGCAAAGCCGACCCCTACTGGTGCGGGTGGAGCGGGCATGCTCAGAGGCGGTGCTGCGAGCAGTGGACAAGGGCGCACAGACGCAGACGAACTGCAAGCCTTCAATACATTCCGTGCACTCCAGACGGTTCGCTTGTTCGTCAAGTCCGTGATCACCGCCGCTCACAATTTGACACCGCTGGTGGACGAGTGCACAAATTCGCTAACGCCCTCGCAGCTGATCACGGCCACTCAGTTTCTGGACGAACATTATGTTCTTCCCGACGATCAACGAGAGCTAGTACCGTGGTCGCTGCGCCACCCTGGATCCCGATTGGAAATGAACGGTGGCTGTGGATCCGCGCGCCCTATTGGCGTTGGAACCGATTTCGCCTTCCGAGGTGATGAGGATGAGACCTTCGATGTACTTATGCTGGCCCACGCTTCGGAAGACACTGATGGTGAGAATGGAGCGGTGCTGAACACTTCCGCGGTCCTGGCCACCGAGACAGCGCCCGACTCCGATGACGACGGCGAGTCTACCCTAGGCAGTGCGGCGATTCATGGTGATGATGTCCTGGGGGCCGCGGGTGCTGGCATCTTTCCAGCAACGTGTGCCTCGCCCTCTGGCACGTCGCCTGCTGGGGGACCTGACCTGGCAGGTTAATTTTAGGGGCTCGACGCTGGGGGTGCTCTCCCGCCTGCTCACGTTCATGCCGTGGTGATTGACGGTGACGAGCTGGACGCAGTCGGCCTCGCCGTCGTCGCTGGCCGCGAGGAGGGCGGCGATTTCACCGACTTCAATCCTGAGGAGGCGGGCGGCGTGAGCAGCGCGGCCGAGGGCGGGAATGCTTCGGCCCCGCCTTCCTTCCCCCCCCCCCCCTGCGGCGCCGTCGTCTCCTGCAGTGGAAGATCCACCTGGGGAAGCTGCGTCGAGCAGGTCGGATGATCTGTTCAACCAAAGAATGGCGGCACACGGCCTCAAGGTGATATTCTCTGATGGGATGTTGGGCTGGGGCCTTTCAATCTAGTTATGCGACTTCATCGGCTGGAGGTGCTTCTGCGTCTTCGAACTTTGGTGCAAAGCCGACCCCTACTGGTGCTGGTGGAGCGGGCATGCCCAAAGGTGGTGCTGCGAGCAGTGGACAAGAGTGCACAGACGCAGATGAATTTCAAGCCTTCAGTCAACTTCGTGCACTCCAAACGGTTCGCTTGTTCGTCAAGTCCGTGATCACCGCCTCCCACAATGGGACACCACCGATGGACGACGGCACGAAAGCGTGGACTCCCTCGCAGCTGATTACGGCCACGCAGCATCTGGACACACACTATGTTCTTCCCCAAGACCTACGAGAGCTAGTACTGTGGATGCTGCGCCACCATGGATCTCTGTTGGAATTGGACAGTGAATATGGATTTGCGCCCCTTCCTAGCTTTGGAACCGGCTTCACCTTCCGAGATGATGAGGATGAGATCTTCGATGAACTCCTACTGGCCCACCCGCCGGAAGACGCTGATAGTGAGGATGGAATTGTGTTGAACACCTCTGCTGTCCTGGCTACCGACCCCGTGAACGACACCGAGGACGAGGCAGAGTTTACCCAAAATCGTGTTGCAGCCATGGAGTCTGGCTTGGGCAGCACGGCGGGTCTTGGTGATGATGTTCTGGGGGCCTTGGGTGCTGGCGTGGGGGTGGAGCAAGCGTGCAACAATGGATCATGCACTCCACCTGGTCCACCACCTGGACTCGACGCTGGGCATGCTGGGGATGCTCTCCTGCCTGATGGGGATGCTGTGGATGCTGGGGATCAGCTACCTGGTCTCGACGCTGGACATGCTCACCAGCCTGCTGATGTCCATGCCATGGCGATGGACAATGACGAGCAGGACACCGACGGCCTCGCCGTCGTCGCTGGCCTCGTGATGGACGGCGATTTCAACGACTTCAAATCTGAGGAGGCGGGCGGCGCGAGCAGCGCGGCCGAGGCCTAGGCGCGGGCGGGGCGATGGTGCGCCTCTCCAGTGGCGTGGGTTCCTCCTCTTCCTCCTCCTCCTCCTCCTCCTCCTCCTCCTCCTCCTCCTCCTCCTCCTCCTCCTCCTCCTCCTCCTCCCTCTTCTCCTCCCTTTCCTCCTCCTCCTCCTCCTCCTGCTCCTCCTCCTCTGCCCAATCAAACGCAAAAACAAACAAAACAAAAAGCAAAGGCTTCGCAAGGATTCGGCTTTAATCTGGACTTTCCCAGGACATGTGTTTTGCTTGTTCTGTTGGTGTCGTTGTTTGCTGTTTCTTCCAATGATCTGAAGGAACGAAGAGATCAAAGGGGGTGGTGCAGGAGGAATTCTGCTTCTCCCGAAGAGAAAGAAAAACAGGAAGATGAGGAACATGTTGAATCGCATTGAAATGGCCAAAGAGGGCCCCTCACAAGCGTCCCATGCCAGGGAATTCGGAAACGTAAAATCGCGGGGGGGGCGTTATGATGGCCCCTGCACGGCGCCAGAGGCCGTCCAGACGAGCCGCGGCAAACGAAATCATTGATTCTTCTATGGTTCCTGAAAGATGTCCACCTTCTCGCCACTTCGAGCGGAGACCGGCCCAAGACGGCCATTTCGAGCCAAGACCAGCCCAAGATGGCGTGGACGAAGTCAACGGGTCCGCCCTAGTCTGCTATATCGCTGGGATCAGCGCGTGCGCGAAGGGCGAGCAGTCGCAGTGGGCGATGGCGCTGCTGAGCGAGATGTGAGAGGCGAAGCTGGAGCCCGACGCAGCGTGCTACAGCCCTGCGATCGGCGCCCCGCTGCGGAGAGACGATACGACAGGCTAGTGAGCTACAGCGCTGGGGAAAAGCGCGTGAGTGAAAGGTGGTCAGTGGCTGCGGGCTCTGACGCTGTTGAGCGAGATGTGGGAGGCGATGTTGGTATTCGGACGTTATCAGATTTTCAGCGATGGCATTAGCAGGTGCGTTAGAGGACGAGCAGTGGCAGCTGGCGCTGGCGCTGCTCAGCTTGATGCGGGACGCAATGCTTGAGCCCAACGCGATCACCAATTGCAGCGCTGGAATCAGCGCGTGCGGGAAGGGCAGTCAATGGCAGCAGGTTCTGTTGCTGCTCAGCAAGACGTGGTAGGTGAAGTCTGAGCCCGACGGTATCAGCTACAGCGTTGGGATCAGTGCGCACGACGAGGTCGAGGAGTGGCAGCGTAGTTCGGCGCTGCTCGGCCAGGTGCGCGAACGTTGGAGCCCAGCGTCATCTTTATTACCGCGACTGGTTTAGCAGGTGCGAGAAGGGCAAGCAGTCGCAGCAGCCTTGTCGCAGCTCTGCGCGACGTGGGAGGCAAAACTGAAGCCCGACGTCAGTTCTTCTACAAATGCAGGGACCATTGCGTGCGAGAAGGTCCTCTGTCTTGAAAGGCCGCCGTGACCCTCCGGGGCGCCTTGCGAGTCCCCAGGGCGCTCCGAGACGGCTCCTGGGGCCCCAAGACGACCCCAAGACGGCCGGCTCAGAGATGCTCAAGAGGGCGCCCAGACGCCCCAAGAGAACCCCAAGCGAGCCCCAGGATGGCCCCAGAGGCCTCCTAGACAGGCCAGGAGGCTACCGAGACGGCCCAGGAGGACCCTCAGGAGAGCCCCGAGAGGCAAGAATCGTCCCATTCCAATCAGAAGACGTTTATTCCCCACATCCTGAGTGGGGTTCTTGTTTTCCCAGAACACCCTCTCCTTCCCACCCACCTCCCGCTCCATCTTCCATACAGCACAATATTATTCCTACCACACACACCATACCATACCATAGTTCCTACCACACATACCATACCATACCATACCATACCATACCATACCATACCATAGTACCATACCGTACCATACCATACCATGGCGTACCATAGCATACCATACCATATCACACCAATGCCACACCGTACCATACCATACCATACCTCCAGTACCATACCATACCATATCATACCATACCGTACCATACCATACCTACGAGGAGGGTATCGGAAAACCATACTATTTACATGGTTTCGTGCCCCTCCCACCCTCCAGGGAGGCCCCGCCTGAGCGAGGAGGGTATCCGAAAACCATACTATTTACATGGTTTCGTGCCCCTCCCACACCTCCAGGGAGGCCCCGCCTGAGCGAGGAGGGTATCCGAAAACCATACTATTTACATGGTTTCGTGCCCCTCCCACCTCTCCAGGGAGGCCCCGCCTGAGCGAGGAGGGTATCCGAAAACCATACTATTTACATGGTTTCGTGCCCCTCCCACCCCTGCAGGGAGGCCCCGCCTGAGCGAGGAGGGTATCCGAAAACCATACTATTTACATGGTTTCGTGCCCCATCCCACCTCTCCAGGGAGGCAAAACCATACTATTTACATGGTTTCGTGCCCCTCCCACACCTCCAGGGAGGCCCCGCCTGAGCGAGGAGGGTATCGGAAACCATACTATTTACATGGTTTCGTGCCCCTCCCACCCCTCCAGGGAGGCCCCGCCTGAGCGAGGAGGGTATCGGAAAACCATACTATTTACATGGTTTCGTGCCCCTCCCACCCCTCCAGGGAGGCCCCGCCTGAGCGAGGAGGGTATCCGAAAACCATACTATTTACATGGTTTCGTGCCCCTCCCACCCTCCAGGGAGGCCCCGCCTGAGCGAGGAGGGTATCCGGAAAACCATACTATTTACATGGTTTCGTGCCCCTCCCACCCCTCCAGGGAGGCCCCGCCTGAGCGAGGAGGGTATCGAAAACCATACTATTTACATGGTTTCGTGCCCCTCCCACCCTCCAGGGAGGCCCCGCCTGAGCGAGGAGGGTATCGGAAAACCATACTATTTACATGGTTTCGTGCCCCTCCCACCCCTGCAGGGATACCCCAAACATACTATTTACATGGTTTCGTGCCCCTCCCACACCTCCAGGGAGGCCCCGCCTGAGCGAGGAGGGTATCCGAAAACCATACTATTTACATGGTTTCGTGCCCCTCCCACCCCTCCAGGGAGGCCCAGCTTGAGCGAGGAGGGTATCGGAAAACCATACTATTTACATGGTTTCGTGCCCCTCCCACTCCTCCAGAGAGGCCCCGCCTGAGCGAGGAGGGTATCGGAAAACCATACTCTTTACACGGTTTCGTGCCCCTCCCACCCCTTCAGGGAGGCCCCGCCTGAGCGAGGAAACCACCAAGCATTACTCTTCGCCAGGTTTCGTAGCCCTGCCCCCTTCCAGCGGGTCCCCGCCAAAGCGAGGAGGGCATCAAGAAAATGGGTCCCACGAAACCGTTAATCTCTTTATGTGGGGAACTCCGTTAGCATAATTTTTATGTGTTCGTTCTTTCCGCCCGCAGGAGGGCCCCCAAACGTCCGCGGGATGGCTCCAGAGGCGCCCGAGACGGCCCAAGAGGCACCCAAGACACCCCCAAGAGCGCCCACTGACAGCCCAAGATGGCCCCAAGACTGCCCCAAGATGGCCCGAGAGACGGCCCCAGATCGCCCCAAGATGGCCCACGAGGCACTAAATATTCCAAGAGGGCCCCGAGAGAGCCCCAGGAGGACGAAAAGAGGCCTCCAAGCGGCCCCCAAGAGGCCTTGGATGCTTGTCTCTTGGGGAGTGTCGAACGGTCGAAGATCGACGGGATGAAGGATCGAGAGACGAAGAGGAGGACGCCCAAAATTGCCCCGCAAGCCGACAGAACCCACCACCGATATGTCTCAAGCATGACCCGAAGGAGGCCCCTAGAGGATCCAGACATATCGAGACGGCTCCTAACGAAGCTCGACGGGATGAAGGAAGGATCCAGGGGAGGACGAGGAGGGCGCCCAAAATGGCCCCAAAGTCGATAGGAGCCACAAAGATGTCCCGAGCATGCCCCGCAGAAGGCCCCAAGAGGGTCCAGACACCCCTAGAAGGCCCCTAACGCGCAGCCCAAGTAAACCAAAGGGACAGTTACTCCAGCGCCCTATTGGTGATCCTCCCGTGCACGGGGCGCCTGAGCGGCCCCCGTGCGGAGACGAGGGCACGGACGGGGACGTCACGATGGCGGCATTCCGCGCCATCACGACGTCGTGGACCGCGACGTCCGCCCGAAGCGTCGCGATCCGTTAGCTGGGAGAAGTCTCAAGGGGCAGAGTGAGGGGCCCAGATGACGGAAAGCGCGCGTAGCGCTGCGATCCGTCAGCCGGGAGAAATAGCAAAGCGGAGTGTGAGGGGCGGGCCCACCTCTAATGGCACAGTGTTCGGTCATTGTTCGGTCCAAGACGGCCCCAGTTTCCCCCCAAGACGGCACGAAAGGCCCCCAAGGCCGCCCAAGGACGGCCCAACGGGGCCCCACGACGGCCCTGTAGAGAGCCCCAGGACGGCCCAAGAGAAGCACCTGAGGGCCCCAAGAGGTTCCCAGGCCCCGAGGGGGCCCCAAGACGGCCCGCACACCCCAAGACGGCCCAAGCCCCCCGAGGACGGCCCAGGAGGGGGACAGGGCCATGGAGGCACTGCCGACCCTGGGCCCCAGCGCGAGCCCCTGCCTGGGCCGTCCCCAGTTCGGGGGCCGCCTTCGCCCTGCCCAGGAGGAGCGGAGAAGGATCGAGGAGGAGGAGGAGGAGGAAGAGGAAGATCGAGGGACGGATCCTCCTCCTCCTCCTCCTCCTCCTCCTCCTCCTCCTCTTCCTCCTCCTCCTCCTCGTCCTCCTCCTCCTCCTCCTCCTCCTCCTCCCCATCCTCCTCCTCCTCCTCCTCCTCCTCCTCCTCCTCCTCCTCCTCCCCGAGCCCCTCGCCCTCCGCGCGCGCCCTGCGGTTTCGTGCTTGCCTGCAGCCGAGGGGCTGGCTCGAGGCGAGCCGGCCACAGCAGGCCACTGTTTCTCGCTCCGCCACGGCAAGCTCCCGCTGCCGTGGCCGTCCGTTCTCGTGCATCCGTGCTGTTACGTGCGCGCGCCATGTCCTGGGGTTTCAAGAAACCCCTTGCGTATGTGTGCTGCCCCAACCCCGCCTGCCCAGGTTGGACCTGGGCCAGCCGCCGCAAGCCCTACTGCGGGCTTTGCGGCACCCCGCAACCCCAGCCGCCAGGATCCTCGCCATCGCCAGGGACCAGCGGCAAGGGGAAGGGCAAGGGCAAGGGGCAAGGGCATGAAGGGGGAGGAGGAGCATCTGGAGGAGGAGAAGCAGGAGGTGGTGTGAAGCAGCCCCCGTGGCATAAAGACACGATCCCCTTGTCGCCTCCCCCGAACACCGACCAGTCCTCCCACGAACTTCTGATGGCGCAGCATCTTGTCAGGTTCTACAAGGCTGGGGAGTGGAGCACACCGATCCCAGGCTGGTCTCGGCCCATGAAGCTGTCAAAGCTGCGAAGGAGAAGGTGTTCCAGAATCGGTCCCCTGTCCAGAAGGCTCAGAGTCTCGCGGCTCAGATCCAGCATCAGAAGTCCCTCATCACCTCTGCCACGGAATCTCTTGCCGAGCTTGAATCCCAGGCAGCTTGTATGGTCAGGAAGTATGAGGAGGCGACGGCGCAGATTCGTGCATCGAAAGCCCAGTTGGAGTGTCTCAACGCCCAGCTTGCTTGCCTGCGTCCTGAGTCCGCCTCGTGCGAGCCTCCTGAGTCTGAACCTGAAAGTGTGGTCCACTGGGTCCAGGGTCTGAAGGGGGCTTTGACCAAAGAGTTTGCCTGTCTCTCTCCTGAGGGAAAGAAGCAGTTGGAGGATGGGTTCTCGGCTTTGGAAGGTATGTTGTCTAAGATGAAGGACCAGTTGGATCTT